TCGTCTCGACCATTGGCTCTCGGCGTGCTCGGGCCTCGAAAGCCACTTCCGCATCAGGCTGCCTGTGCGCGCTGGGCTGCCTGTGCGCGGCCTGCGCGCGGGCTGTGCGGGCCTAGCGAGCTTCTTAGGGTCAAATGACTTGGAAATTATTTCTAAGTGTTCGGTTTGACCCCAGCTTGACTTGAACAACAAAATAATAATAATAATAATAATAATAATAATAATAATAATAATAATAATAATAATAATAATAATAATAATAATCATAATCATAATGACAATCTCCAATAATTCGTAATCAAACGGGGCATTACAAAGGATTAACCAGAAACATTCCCACCCAGCTCGACACAGGCTAAGGGATCCTTTCCAGGAGACAGTCGAGATGTTTTTCCCCAACACACGAGATAGGGCGTCCTCCTTTCGGATACGACAGGCAGGTGACCTCGCACTACTTATGCTTTCATCAAAGGCACTACAGGCGAGACGCCCCTGGCGGTGTAACACACTAGACTAGGGTTCTCAGTCATACTAAAGTTACACGACGCTAGTGCTAGCAATGCCAAGGTTTGATGTCTTGTTCGAGGTACATACAGATGCAAGCGCCATAAAAATATGAGCTGTGCTAGTGTAGGAAGGACGACCATTGGCCTATCTCAGCAAGGCACTGGGCACAACTCGAATGGGGTTGTCTGTGTTCGTAAAGGATATGCTAGCATTTGTAAAAGCTGTAAGGTGTTGGAGGCCCTATATATTGGGGCGATGTTTTCTGATTGTGACCGACCAGCATCTGCTCAAGCAGTTAATCGAGCAAAGAATTGTGACGGCCGAGCAGCAGAAGTTTGTCTCGAAGCTCTTGGGTTTCGACTTTGAGATAGTCCATCGGCTGGGCCGATAGAATGCCGTGGCCGACCCATTATCCCAACGGACGGATGTAGCCGAGCTTGCAGCTATTACCGGGCTAACATGGGCCGTCTGGGAAGAAGTTAGGAAAGCGCAAGAAGAGGACGCGCAGTGTCAGGAGCTGCTCCAGGGGGTCGAGGCAGGAGCGTTGCCGCCGCCGACAACGCGCAACACAACGACCTACTACTCCATTGAGGCCGAGTGTTTGTACCCAACAGTGGGCAGTTGCGCGAGAGGATCATGCAGCACTTCCACGATTCAACAATTGAAGGACACTCGGGAGTCTACCGCACATGGATGAGGATGGCCAATACCTTCTTTTGGCCAGGGCAGCAGAGCATGGTCCGAGATTATGTCGCACGATGCGACGAGTTCCAACGCACTAAGGCTGACGCAAGGCGACCGAGCGGGCTGCTGCAACCATTTTTGGTCCCCGAGGCGATTTGGGAAGATATTACTATGGATTTCATTGAAGGGCTGCCGCTCTCCAATAGATTCAATGGTGTCATGGTCATGGTTGATCGACTTACAAAGTATGCTCACTTCATACCCATCACCCACCCTTACACGACAAAATCCATTACCAAGTTATTCATTGAGTATGTGATGAAGCTTCATGAGGCACCACGATCAATTGTTTCTGACCGAGACTGGATTTTTATGAGTAGCTTTTGGTCCGAATTCTTCAAGCTGCAAGGGACCAAGCTATCGATGAGCTCAGCATACACCCACAGATAGATGGACAAACCAAGGTAACTAACCGAACTCTTGAGCAATATTTGAGGTGCTATGTTCATCAATTTTTGAAGAAGTGGGAGGAATTTCTACCATTGGTTGAGTATTGGTACAACATGATGTACCATGGTTCGACCAAGATGACGCTATTCGAGTTAGTATATGTGCGCAAAACGCCGACGCTCATCAACTACTCGGAAGGAGGTGCAATCATTGATGAAGTAGGTCGAGAGCTGGAGGAGCGAGATTTGATGTTGCGAGAGTTAAAGAAAAATCTCGAAGGATCATCAACCGCACAAAGGCGTTAGCAGATGGAAAAAGACGAGAGGAAAATTTTGAGCCTGGCGACTTTGTCTACTTGAACCTGCGACCGTTTAGACAGCGCACGACGGCACAACGGGCAGCAACGAAGCTAGGGGTACGCTTTTACGGGGTGTATCAGATTGTGAAGTGCATTGGCCAAGTAGCTTATTGCCTAGAGCTACCCGAGAGCTCGCAGATCCATCAGGTCATACATGTCTCTCAGCTCAAGAGAAGTTTAGGAGAGGCGCACAAGTGGTGCGAGGAGTTGCCGACAACTGTGGCCGATGGAAGGGTCATATGTTAGAGGTATGTTGTAAAAGCTGTGTTTTGCAGTTTCTATCAATTCTATTTTGA